AATGCTTCTTAGAAGGAGCATGGTCAAGTTGGTAGAGAGCTATACTTGGGGATAAGAAGAACCTGCCTTTGACAGAAACTAGCAGTGTGACCTTTTACTAATTAATTAGCCTCATCACCTCCACGCAACTCACTAAAACTAAATGACAGAAAAGCTGCCAATTTATGTCAGGAAAGGGAGTTTCCACACTGAGAATCCTTAACATTGATGCTATGAGGCATATGAGGTGGGGGGGGTGAGGGGAAAGATTTGGAAGGCTGAGTTAGGAAGCATTTGGTTAGCCTGAATGGACTGACTCAGGAGAAAGGAGATGGCATGGAAGCCAATTTGGAGTACTTGGAGGGGGATCTTCTGAAATAGGTCTCGAAAAATGGCTTGGTAAGAATTTGTTGTGGGCCAGAAATGCCAAACAAAGGAACTGCATTTCCTTCAACAGAAAACAAAGAGCCATGTGCCAGGATGTACACAAGTGAGCATTTCTTTGTAAAAGGCACTGTGTTATAGAAGGTAGGAGATGATTTGAAAGGGACATGGAAAGACTTGTATAGAGAGGGAAGTGAACAAGACCAGAATGATAATCTATACTAGAACACCAAATACTGGGATAAACAAACAAACAAACAAACAAAAAAACAATTCTTATGACTTTTATAAACAGACAATAAATGAAATGAGCAGAACAAGGAGAACAAGTTATAAAACAATAATTTCTTCTGTGTGTGTGTGTGTGTGTGTGTGTGTGTCTGTGTCTGTGTTTTAAGACAAACAAAATGCTGGAAGGACTGATCAATGCCATCATTAGTCATGATTCCAGAGGATCAATGATGAAACGTGCCACTCACCTCCTCACAGAGGAGATGTACATGTCATGTGGAATGGGCCACCTATGCTTCTATCTTCTTCAGTCACTTAGGGAAATAATTTTGCATGACTCAGCATATTTGCTATAAGGAATTTTCAGTGGGAGGGAGACAAAATAGATTTTTTTCTTTTCTACAAAAATAGAAGGGGATGCTATAGATATGGAATATTGAATCCCCTTTAAGATAAAGTATTATTTGTTTTACTTGATTGTTTCACTGTGTTCCAAGAGACCTCTCATATACTAGAGTAACCTGGAAATGTTTATAATGTAAAAGAAATCAATATAACTTGCTTTTAACAAATGGTCTCATATCAGTTTGGGTTATTTCTGTTTTTATTAGCCATAACATATTACACAATTGACTCACATATAGAGATTTTTAATATCACACACAAATCAAAACCATACAAAAGAATGTTAAATTAAGCTTGTATTTCACATTTTTAGCACACCAAATATAAGAATTTATATTTGCATGTCTGTGGCCTGTGGCCACATAATGAAAAAACAAAATCCCATAGGCCTCAAAATGAATCAAATACGTTAAGATAGATATTTACACAATTTATAGCAGCCAATATTACAGGATCAGTTACTTTTGATTAGAATTAGGAATGAAAAAATTGACTCACGACTTCTGATTCTCTTGGCCGAGAGGAGCAAATGTAGACTTGTCTCAAAATTACAGGAAAATAATTATCAAAAATCAGAGCTATCAAGGTCCTGATCAGAACCTTGGTTCATGGAAAGAGCACTGGATTTTGAAGTGTGAGGACCTGGATTTGACTCTCAGCCTTATCACTTATTATCTGGGTGACTTTGAGCAACCCACTTCCCTTCACTGAATCAGTTTATCTTTCTTGTGTTCCTTCATAGGTACAATGAGGGGATTGGATAACATGATTCCTAAGTTCTCTTTCAGATGCAAATCCTAAGAAAGCTAAGCATTTGACTTAAAATCATATTTGTCTCTAAGATATAAGTCAATTATCGTCCTCCTTTCATAGTTTGGTTGATTAAAACCTTTTCTTTTAACTTCTATTAAGTTCAAAAATCCTCAGCATTGGGTTATATACTGGAGACTTCTTGGCATATTTAAAAGTATTCATCCCTCTAGCCTTAGTCTCAGCACTAATTCTCACCCATTCCATTTTAGCATCATTCTCATAGGAGTTCAACCAGGCCAGATGTTTTAGAATCTAGTAAATTCCCCTCACCCACATTTTAGAGAGAAACAAAGGGCAAGATAGATAGCGGGATTTGTTGAAGGCCGTTTTAAAGATTTGGTTTTCCCTCGAACTGACTCTTAACATAGGAAATAATGGGAAGGGAGGATACCAGTCATGTTTCAACCAGGACAGAGGGCAATGAAATGAGTCCATAATTAAGAGATTAGGTTAAACCTTTAATTATAGAAATTAAAGAGCATGGTCTTTCACCCAAATGGTACTCTCAGGCTTTTAGAGAATTTATCATTTGGAGTCCATATAAATTAATAATGCATGATAAAGTGAAAGATAGATGTATGCAGAAATGTGTGGATGTGTGTGTGTGTGTGTGTGTGTATACACATATATATTCCACATGCTTAAAATAATAATCCAGAAAAATAAGTGCCCATACGTCACACCTGAAAATATACAAATGAATTTATTTAATTGATACTCAAATGAAATGGAAGAAAAACTGTGCTTAGAAAATGTAACAAACCATATAAAATAGCTATCACAGACCATCTCAAATAACCATTTTACTATTGTAGTAAAATATGCCTAGAAATAAAGGTCACAAAGTTTATCTGGCTCTACAGAGCAGAGGCAAACATGAGAACAATTCATGGGACAGTCTTTGTGTTCCCTTAACATACAGGCGATACTTAATGAACCTGGAAGAAGGCCACCTGCCCCTTTTAGTGGTTCACTTGTGGAGAACATAGCTAAGAGCCACACAAGGGGGTGATGAGCTCACTAGCTACACCTCTGAAGCAGCATCCACTTGATTGACATCTCAGATCATAAATCCTGAAAGCTGCAGTTTGTCTCAGGTAAAGTTGTTAGGGTTCAAATGTCTGCTCATTTAGCAATTTCTTTTTAGTGTTTACACTAAAAAGAAATGGAATTCATCAATCCCTTTTCTACACACAATTCAGAATATATTGTCCCTACTAGTTGACCCTTGAAAACAAAAGAAAGACACTGCTTTACTCAGCCCCCACCCTATAGGTCTCAGCTTAGAACTCTCTACTATGATCTGCTTTTCTTGAAAAGGTGCTAATAGTTCCTTCTGTCAGAAAAAAGAAAAACTTTGATCTCATTTTAAATCATTTCAAAAGTTATAAATCATATTTCCTAATGAATTCATTGCGTGAAGTATAACTCAGTTTTTCTCTTTCAACATCAATGCAGTGGACACATGCCAAAATATTCATTTATCACTATGCAGTTGATACTTGACTTATTTTTTTTAAATTTTAGAGAAAATTCACAGTCATTCACAAGGATTTCCCTCTCCTCTGTTCCTGTTTCAGCCTTGTTTCCTCCCTTTCTCCCAGAAATATATTTTTAGAAAGTCATTTGCTAAGGAGATATCTCTCTCTCCTTTTTTCTTATAAAAGAAATTATAAATAAAAATGCAAGGGTGCTGGGGATTTCCCTGGGTTGATTGATATAGATTATGATACCTTGAATTTTCTGAGAGCTCTTAATCTGATAGAAGTAGAGTTTGAAAAGTGAATGAAGCTTATTCTTGGCATATTAAGCTTGTAAAAGCTCAGGGGCTCTCCTCACGTCTTAACTGTGGAGTCATTTATTGCCTTAAGTATTTCACAGGTGACAAAGATCAATCACCACCAGAAAGTTAAATGATTAAATGAACCTTAAAATTTTAGGCTCCAGGTTTTAGATAACTTGTTCTGTACAAGTCTGGCCTTTTCTGGAAAGTATATTTAAGAGGGGGAGGGAGAGAAAGCTGGAAGTTATTGTAAATGAATGATATTTTTGATTGAGTAAAGAGGGAAAAGCATCAGGCTCACAGGTTTTTAATTTAAAGCCTATCTGTGCATACTTCTTAGTATAATCCTAAAGGACTATATTTTGGGATGTTTAATCATTCAACCCTCAGCCCAGAGGAAAAAGATGGGCTTGACTAGCTTGGAAAGTGGGCCACTGTCAGAATGAAGAGACTCAGCATTATCTTTCAGATTATTTCACAAGACAAATTTCTACCATCAGATCACAAGGCATCAGAATTCTGTGTTTCACTGCACTCAAAGACTTTCCATTAATTCAGTGCAGCATCTCTGGAAGGTACACCAAAAGAGCAGAGCTGCTCAGAGGTCTTCAGCTTCATGCTTTCCTTGGGAGTGGAGCAGAAGAGCTCAGCTTTATCTTGTCCTGGGCAACACAGAAAAAGGGATGCCCAGTGACCCATGCAAACCCTCCCCTTTGAGTATTGCTCTTTAGAGGCAAAATGCTGGGGTCCTCTATGCAGCTGACAAACGGAAGCTTGCAAATCAAGTCACCTTCCCTGAGGGTGGGAGGTCAGGTGGCTGCTGTCCATGGTGTGGCTGCTGGAAAAGAAACTGGCCTGGGTTGTTCCAGCAAAGAGGCCTCCCCCACTGCTAGCCGTAACCCTGAGCACAACCTCTGTGCACACTGCCTGTCCATGGTTGGGGCTCTTTGCTAGCTTGGGCCTAGGCTGAGGGTGATGGTAGACAAATGACCTTGAAACACATTCCACATATTTGAAAACCTTCTGACAGTCAGCTTAGGGAGAAAACAAGACTCAGAACAAAAGTCAAAACCACAAATGTGCAAACTGCTTAACTAAAGGGGAGAAGTAGTCAGACTGGTTATAATGGGAGCAGTGTATTTATGTTTTCAACCTATAGACAACTAGAAAGAAAATACCTTTTCAAGTCCAAGGTCTAAGGGAGGAAGTGGACCATAAGAGTCTCTATGTAAACAAACCAAGGAACATGTGAAAGAGTAACAGATCTGTTTCAGTGTGGGTTATGAAAAGTAATAGCCTAAAGACTGAGAAGGAGAAGAAGCAAAGTAGAAAAGTTGGAGGGGAGGAGGGAAAACTTCAGATATTACTTCCAGTCCCAAAAGGTGAGGGTCCAGTGTGGGAAGGCTCTTGTAAACACACAGCAGATTTGTGGCAGTGTTCACTAGTTGGGGTGGGGGTGAGGGTTTCCTAAGACTGTTTAGGAACCCAGGTAAACTTCCAGCCTCCTTCATCTCGCCGTACAAAGGCTTGTCCCTGATGGAAGGAATGGGTTTTCACATGGCAGTGGGGTGTCAGGGATGTGGAAAAGGCCACATCTGTCTTGTTGGGTGAGACATCAGGGGTATAGCCAGGCGAGGTGAAAGGGGGGAAAGGGTTGGGGGCCAGGTTAGACATGGTTTGTAAAGCACCTGGTTGGTTGTACACTCCAGAGAAAAAGACCAAGTCGTCCTCCTGCTGGCTGCCTGTGTTGTGCAAGGGTGCCACCTGCGCACTCTCATAAGAAGTGGGCAGCCCCACAATGCCATGTTCATAGCTGGCCTCCTCACCAGAAAACTGTGGGAATGTGTTCCTTTCAGGCTGAGAGAGCACGGCACTGTAGTTAGCTGGCACACTATCATCAATGGTGTCAAGGTCTTTCAATCCGAGGGTCTTCAGGACCCAGGAGTCCACAGGAGGACTTGGGCGCCCCTGACAGGCAGCAAACTCACTAAACAGGTTTCTCTTGGCATTCTTGGGATGAGGGGTATCCATGGCAGGGTACCTTCCCTCCCTTGGTTTCCTCTTCCCATTTTCTGTACAACCATAGATTTGGGTGGGTCCATTTTGTATCAGCAATTTCTAGAGGAGACAAAATTTACACACTAGTGAAGAGATAAGAAAATGAGGAGCCTTCAAAAAATAAGTCATTGTTCACTTTCAATCAATGAAGAGAGTCTAAACATTGGAGGTGTCTGATGTTCCCAAGTACCTACTTACACACACAAAACAGAAGCTCAACACCATTGATTTATTTTGATAATCACTAATTATAGTCTCTCAAGCATTCATTATTTTTTTAAAATCATTAATTTGTTTCTTTTTAGCTTTCAACGTTCACTTCCATAAGATTTTGAGTTTTACATTTTCTTTCCTTCCCTTTCCTCCCCCCTCCACAAGACAGTGTGCAATCTGATAAAGGCTCTACTTGTACATTCATATGAAGTATATTTTACCATTACCATGATGTAAAGAAGAATTAGAACTGATGAGAGGAACCACGAGAATGAAGCAATGAAACAAAACAATAAAAGAAAAGGAGAGCAAACAGTCCGCTTCCATCTGCACTCAGACTCCATGGCTCTTTCTCTGGATGTGGATAGGATTTTCCATCCTGAGTCTTTTGGAGTTGTCTTAGGTCCTTACATTGCTACGAAGAGCTAAGTCTATCAAAGTCAGTCTTCACACAATGTGGTTGTTACTGTACATAACTTTCTCCTGGTTCTGCTCATTTCACTCAACATCAGTTCATATACATCTTTCCAGGTTTTTCTAAAGTCTGGTTGCTCATCATTTCTTATAGCACAATAGCATGCCATTACATTCATATACAGTAACTTATTTAGCCATTCCCCAATTGATGGGCATCCCCTAAATTTCCAATTCTTGGCCACCACATAAAGAGCTGCTATACATATTTTTGTACATGTGGGTCCTTTTCCTGTTTTTATGATCTCTTTTGGACACAGACCTAGAAGTGGCATTGCTGGGCCAAAGGGTATGCACAACTGTATAGCCCTTTGAGCATAGTTCCAAATTGCTCTCCAGAACAGTTAGATCAGTTCACAACTCCGCCAACAATGCATTAGAGTTGCAATTTTCCCACATCTTCTCCAACATTTATCAATTTCCTGTTTTGTCATGTTAGCCAATCTGATAGGTATGATATGATGCCTCAGAGTTGTTTTGATTTGCATTTCTCCAATCATGATTTAGAGCATTTTTTACATGACTATAGATAGTTTTAATTTCTTCCTCTGAAAACTGCCTGTTCATATCCTTTGGCCATTTACCAATTGGGGGATTCACCCATTCATTCTTACAGCTCCTGGGGAAAGGCTCTGCCTAGCTACCTTTTGGATGGCTCTCCTCAGGGAAGGTGGAACAGCAGAAAGATTGGAAAGTTCATTGGATTTGGAGTCAGCAAACCTGGGTTTAGAACCCAGCCCTGCCTTTTGGTGCCAGTGTGACTAGTCATCTCTTTGGGCCTCAGTTTCCTCACTTGGCCTGGAACAGACAACCCCAAAATTCTTTCCAGCATGAAATCTATGGTCCTATGACCTGTAATAACCACTCAGGGAGCTATGCAATAACAGACAAAAGCAGAGTTTTCAGCTATTGGACGGTTTGAACTGCATCATTTGACACAATTTTCTATTCAGTGGCTCTCAATAAAGCAAATAAAATAACAAAGAAAGGAAAACAACCCACTAGAGCTGTTTAAAAAAAAAGACCGGACAAAAGGGGGAGGCTGGACAAGTAATAATTTCTAAAGTATATTTCAGAATTTCCTTCACAATGCTCAAAAATGCTATTTGTTTTATACTTAGAAAAAAAATCCTTAAGCCTAGAGGGATGACACACCCTATTTAACATCACACTTTAAATCTCAACTAAATCTGAACTTTGGCAAGAAGCCAGGACTGAAAACTGAGAATGAAAGTGGCCACATTCACTGGATGAACTCAGAATCATATTATCTGACCAGTCTTTATCCCTTTACACCTCTGAAGCCCAGCAAAATAAGCAGGATAAAAGGAGGGGACCAAATGAGAGGCTTTGCTGCATGTGGTTCATGTCTTTTAGGTCCTTGAAATCTAATGCAAAATATGTAGCCCTGATAGATGTTTTCCTTTGCCCAACTACCTTCTGGTCAGCATAGAATGGGAGTTCTTAACCTGACACTAGTAAATTTAAACAAACAAACATTTTTTTAATAATTGTATTTCAGTATAATCAGTTTTGTTTATAATTCTATATATTTTATATTATGCATTTAAAAACATGATTCTGAGGATGGGTGGACACGTTTCATAAGACTACCAAAGATGATGACCTAAGAAAATTTAAGAATTCTTGCCATAGAATTTCATTCCATTTTTTTTCACTTCTCTTCATACCTTTCTTCCTTCATTTGCCATTAGCCTCTCTCTTTGACCTTGCCCTTTCTTGTCCTGAAGCTGCCTTTCCAACTCAACCTAGGATGTTTATTCCGACTAACATGTCACCTAAGAGAGCAGCACAGAACCACAGGCAAGATCTATGTAGACGGCCCCAGTGGTATCTTCTAGCATTACAACCACATTCTTTTTGACTTGACAAACCAAAAGAAAAAAAAAAAACAAAAACAAAAACAAAAGCAAACAAACAAACAAACAAAAACTTTGAGCACACCTTATCAAAACTCGTCATTTGCCCTTGGAAAAAAGTAGTCCACATTTTATGAGAAGTGGTCAAGGTTGGGACTCTATCTCTACCCATAAAAAGGTCATTCCTCTGTGTAAGGCTCACTGTATGTACAAGAACAAACTCTGTAACCTTTTCTGTGTAGAAGTTGTCTTAAACAAAGCCCCCTTTTAACAGTATTTTAGGAAAAGAAGGAAAGAGCAAAGGAGAAGGAATGGTAATCAATGAGCTATTCCTTTAGGTTGTCCACTCAGTGTCACGATATCTAGAAGGTGAAGCATCCCAGGATGTTGGGAGAGCCCCTTTGGTATGTTTGTAAGCTGGGGTAGGGTGGGATGGGGGAAATATAGATGAAAGGGGTTTCTTTCTGAACTTTCCTGACTGGGATGTCTCATGTCACACCGGTGCCTCGTTAATCCCCAGTTTCGTTCCAAACTCGACTCAGTTGCTCCCTCCCCCAATACTAGTGCTCTCCTGCCTTAAATTACAATGTATTCAGTGATTCAGTGTGTGTATGTATGTGTATATGTGTATATGTGTGTGTGTGTGTGTGCAGCTTTTCTCTTCAGTTAGAAAGTAAGCTCTCTGAAGGCAATAATCGTTTCACTTTTGTCTTAGAATCTCCAGCCCTGAGCACAGCGTCTGGCATACAGTAGGTACTTAATACTTGCTGACTGACTAATTAAGCTAGGTTATGCTATAAGGTCATGGAATTAAAAGTGTATTTCCAAAGCACCTGTTCAGTGTCTTGTATCTCTTCCAGGACCTCAGAATACTCTCCAGCACTTCCCTGACCCCTGAACTCCCTCCTGGCTTCACAGTGAAAGCATCTCCTACCTTGGCTCTCTGCTCAAGACATTTCACCAAGGCTGAGTTCAGGTATTGTCTGAGGTTGTTGTTCTCTTCATGCAGCCTAGCGAGTTCTTCCTCCTTCTGCAGCAGGGTGTCTTGGAGCTAGGGAGGAGATGCCCACAATGGTGAAAGCTGTTCTCCAATATTGACTTTGTAACTTTATCAATTGGCCAATGGGCCTGCTTAGACTCCATTATGCCTTTGTTTACTTTATGAAGACAATCTTGGGCAAATTCTAGTCCGACATTCAGTGCGTCCTTCCCATCCCCCATCTGACTGTTCAGTTTTCAGCTTTCAACTTTGCCTGTTCTTTGCAAACTATTTGACAAGATTATGACATTCCCAAAATGACCACTCTGGGTGAATAACTCCTACATGCATGCATGCAGGAAAGTAGGGACCACCCCCAGTTGCTCCAACAGAGAGAAGGTTGCTCAGAAAAAAATGCTCTCCTGGAACCTGGCTCTCTGTAGTTCACAAAGGAGCTGGGTTCAGTCTGATTTGTCTTATGGGACTTTGGGTTAAATTCCACTGCAAACAAGAAAACCTCTAAGATAAGACGGCTATACTGAAAAGATTGTCTCAACTTCTTTCACTCAATGGACTTTCTTGGGCTTTTGGTGATTGCTGGAATCCCATCTATTGAATGAGAAGAGGGAGTGAAGGAGGGGAAGCCAAGTGAAGTTGTCACCCTCTGTAAGGACTCAGGGGGCTGCATTATCCCAGTAATCAGTGGTTACCTGCTTGTTTCTATAGAGTTGTGAAGACAGCTGATTTCCTGCCCCAGCATAATCCTCGTGAACCAAGAAATCAAAATCGTTGCATTGTTCTGGGGAAAGACATAAAGACACCTTTTGTTGGCCCTATCCATGTGAGAGAATCTATCTGAGGGCTTTGGAAATATTCCAGGGAATGTCAGCATCTTAATTACTCCAGCCAAGGAGATTGTAGAGAAAAATCCTAAAATCACCATCTAACATTTTCAGATATATGAGTCCATGGGGGGGAAATATATATATATATATATATATATATAGCCATAGAATTTGGTTTCTGCTGGCCATAAAGATAACTTGGTCATTGTGCATATATTGATTTTAAAATATTATCAACAATAGTTACACAAGTGCACACACATGTATTTTCAAAAAAATTAATGCAGTAAGCTTTTGTGGTTTTTATTAGCATACATAACAATGTAATGTATTATACAATAAACATGTGTGGAAATTATATATAATGCAATGTGCATACACACCACACACGAACATACACATACCCATATGTGTGTGTTTGTATGTGTAATTTCCCATTGAGAACATTGTTCAATTCTATCTTTTTTTGCCACCTTTGGACCACAAACCAACGAAGAGATTTTATGTCAATGTCTCTGGAGTCAATCTATCTTGGTAATGGAATTGTGTCCTCAAGGAAAACCCATCTCCTGCCTGGGCAGATGTTTCCTTGGACAGCTAGCTATGTGGTGGTAGCTGCATTGTAAAGAGTTTAGACCATCCTTGTCTAAGCACCTTTCCTGGGGTAACACATCCTACCGTCAGCGTCATTTGGCTGGACTTGCATCATCTCTAGTCACCATATCTTGTCCCCTAAGGAAGTGCTAATGACATCATAGCAGCAAAGGAAACTTCCACATGATATTAAAAAAAAATAATGCCTATAGCATGACTCCATGGGTCATATATGCATGCAATATCCCTCTCTTACCTTCTTTCCAAATAAATTTCAAAATCACTCTTTGGCTTGAAGTGTGGTCATTTGAAGGAGTGGGAGAGGGGAGAGAAGGAGTTGGGGATTTGGGCCTCAATTGCCTGGTTTAATCTTACTTCAAAGTATATGGTGATAGATGGCTGAAACAGAGTTGGCTTTCTCTCAAGCCCCCTAAAATTTCAGTATCTTTTAACTGCTATATACTACCTATGAGAAAGTACTGTGTGGTCAAACTAATAGCCTCCATTCTTAGAAACTGAGATATCTCTGTAATAAGTATCATTAATGAAGACCATTTAATACTAAATCAATATTGATCACAGTTAGGTATTAGGGTGTCATGGTATGAGAATTCAAATACATACCCTGGCCTTGCAGGAAGGGGCTTTCACCCCCTACATGCTCACTCACCAAAGACACAAGTGTTCTCTTAGCCATATAGAATGACCACTTACCAGTTACAAGACTCTGGAGATAACATCTCCAAGAGCATCCTTGCCTTCTCTCAAACCAACAAGACAGGATTCTTCTAATGGGAAAGGTTGAGCTTCAAATGGGCATCTCGCTTCCAAAAGAGCTCAATGAAATTGGACAGCACATAATGCCCGGCCAGCCAAAGATCACCCAATGAGTACAATGGCCCTTTTCCCTTCCCCAGAACCACACATGATGGCCCAAAAGCCAAATAAAAGTTGATACACAAGAAGGTGACCTCCCTAGGTTCCCTCTTTGCCAGAGGAAAACCAGCAGGTGCCTTTGTTCTTGGATACATGATGATTTGGGCTTCTTTGAAAATGAGCTAGCAGTCCCCTCTTCTGTCCAGCCCGAACTCCCTCCACCTTCCCAGCTGCTTTCCAGTGTTGGGTGTAACTGGTGGGCGTGGGTGTAACTGGTGGGCGTGGGTGCCGTAAAGCTCCTGGAGCAGTGTTGGAGAAAGCAGAGGAGCCAGACTTACCCTGTGCCCTGGGCTCTTGTTGCTGCCCTCTGTTGTCCAGGAGACCAGCAGCCCAAAAGGAGACCCAAGTTTCCCTGGAAACGTCAACACTGGATGCTGACGTTGAGGTGGAATGGGGGCAATTATAGTCCTGGCCCCCTGCAAAGTGCTGATCTTGGCAGGGGAGACTGGTGCTCTGTAAAATACAACACAAGGGGTGGGGTCCAGGGATGTGGGGTGATGCCAAGCAGGACAGAAAAGGTGGGAGGAGGAAGGAGACATTAGATACACTTAAAAGACACAGTGAAGGTAGGAGAAGTTGGCCTCAGCTTCATTTCTGAGTGGCCAAAGTACGCTTAATAGAATTTTTTACTTCTTGCTTTGACCAGGAAGCAAAACCAAACACCCAATCCTTTTGGACAATTAAAGCATCCCAATCAGTCCCCGTTTCTCCTTTCTAGTATATTTCTTGTTCTTTAATGGTTAAATAAGAAAATAACATAAGACAGAAGCTCTAAGTAGTATTCTAAAATTTTAGCGTTCCGAATATGCTCACTGAATGGTTGTCAAAAAACAAACAAAGGAAAACAACAGAGAACCTGACCTGTACCTGCTGAAGCTGGTCTACGACACCACTCCCTCCAAACATGAATAAAAAAGGGGAAAAAAAGAAACATATAGTTTTGCTTTTATAAGCAGACACAAAGTCTGAGATCTGTTTCTCCCCATTGGTCAGGCATCACTCTATGTGATTAAGGACAAAGTGGGGCAAAAGCCAAACTAGCAAGACCCCAGATTTGTCTTCCTCGTTGATTTGGCCAGAGGATCCTAAAATAAGAGGAGTGACCCCAAGAAATGAAACAGTTCTTGACTCACCTGAGACAGAAACCCATCCCCCCCCCAAAAAAAACTAAGGATATAAAAAATAAAAGATGTTTTCTTTTTGTTTTCCTGCAAACAGCTCATGTCCAACTTGTTCAGGCCAGGAATACTGTAACATACTCAAGGACTAGTTGGCTCCAAGCCTAGTTCTTTCACTGGAAGTTGCTGGTTTTGCACTTTTCAATTGATGCAAGCACACATGCATACATTTTGTACATAAAATAATAAAGTAATTTAAGTGTTTAAGCTTGTGTGGTGAGTTCCCTCAGCTGCATCTGAACGATTACTCCTAAATTCCAGTCTTGACTCCATCTCACAACTGCAATTCAATTTGGATGTAAAAGAGACACAACTAAGGTCCCTCTCATTCCCGTGTCTCGGTCCTCCAGCATAGCCATCACTCAACACTTCAAGCAGTTAATCTAAGGAATCCTTCTCCATCCCGCCCGGCTCCAGCAGGTAGAGTCATTCACCAGGCACACAGCCTGTCTGGGTTAATGGTCAGTAACTCATTTTCTTTGTATTGGTAAATGTTTAATCTTCCAGAAGTCCCCTATTTCCGTAGAGTTAGGGCTGGGAAAGATGTTCCAATCGTTACCACATGAGAGTTTTCTTAGGCAAAATACAACCAAAGGCGGAAAGGGCGGAGGGAGAGAGGCAGGGAGTTAGGGAAAGTCATGCCTTGTTCATTTTCTCTGTAACTAGTTGAAAAAGGTCCCGTTTTGAAGCCAACCCAGTTCGGATGCCACAGACCCAGACATTTGAGCAAAGTTTAGGAAGTGCTTTTTTTCTGCAAGAAGCTCACTCCCTGTGCTCAGTAAGGGCTTCTCCATTATATAACCAGTACCTGGAAGCCACAAGAAAAGCTCCAAATAGCTGCAAATCAAAGCAGAGTGAGGTGGGGAGGTGAAAGAGGTGAGGAGGGATTGTAAGTCTGCAAAGAAATCCTGAGACCGGGAATGCGGCCCTGGGTCCGAGAGCAGGAGGGCCGGGCAAGCCTCAGAGGAAGGTTGGGAAAGACAGATAGAGACAGGTGGGGAAATGAGGAAGGGGAGCGAGTAACCTGTTTGGAGTCGTAGGTGCCAGAGAAAGCTGGCTTCCCGGCTGGAAGAAGCCTTAAATCTCCAGCTCCAGTTTCTTGCCCAGCTCCAAGGCGAAGGCGCCTGCCTTCCCGCTCCCCACTTACCATCTTGCTGGCTGGGGCCGCGGGAGCCGCAGCCTGGAGCGCACTTTCCCCAGTCCCGCCCCACAGAGGAGCTTTAAATGACGGGGAGGGGGCGAGCCTGGGGAGGCGAGTTCTAATCCCCAGGAGCTCCCGGTGACGCCTCGGGGCTTTCTGGAAACGCTGCGATCTGATTTGGTGCGAAGCTGTCCAACTTGTGACGCGAGGGCACAGACTGGCGGCCGGCTGCTCCAAGGTCACAGTGGCCCGGGCACAGACGGGGAAGGGAGCGGCCCAGGGCGCAGGACCGGAGCCAGGGCTGAGGCCAGCAGCGGGCTCGGGGTGCCCAGCAGCGGAACCAAGGCTGTGCGGAGCCCCTTCAAACCGGGCGCCCTGGCCAGTCGGCCTAGCTGAGCGGTAACGGTGCCCCTGGCGTCGGCGCGCAGCGCTGGGTGCCACCAGCGGAGCGGAGCAGGAATCCCCCAGACAGAGCGCACTGAGCCGAGCTGCCTGTCCCGTGTCCGGAAAGTTTAGAAAAGCGGCGCTGCTGCCGCAGTGGGCCGAGGAACCCAGCTGGAAAGACTTGGGACCGAGCAGTCAAGGACAGTGATGGGGGAAAGGGGCGCGAGGCATCGGGAAAGAGAGCAGCGGGCAAAGTGGAGAAGGCGGCAGCCGTCCCGGGGAGTGGGCAGGCTGGGTGAGGTCGCCCCGCCGAGAAGGCTGAGCCGCTCCGATCAGCGGCCACTCCGGCTGTCGCTCCCTGCAGCCTGCAGGCTCCTCAGGTTGAGACCCGGGAGGGACCTTGCCAGACGTGAATCCCATCCCCTCCGTGAAAGAAAAGGAAACTGAGGCGGGACAGTGGAAGTCACAAGTTCCAAGTCGCAGACATTATTTAGGAGTGACTGGCACAGACAGACGTGTTTATGCTTTGCATTCGTGTTAAAGGCTCTGTACTTGTGTTAAGGTTGTAAGGAGAAGCTGACACATGGAACCCGACCTTTGTCTGAAAAAGCATCCCCTCCCGACCTCCCTGAGCAGCCGATGTTCAGGCCTGAAAAGACAGGGAAAGTAGCTCCCTTCTCTTCCCCATGTTCCATAGCACTAAATCTAGTGTTCCTCCCTTGGGTTCTCTGGGCAAAACCTACTCCGGTCACCCCATACCCTGAGCTGGCCCGTAGAAGCCTAGCCTTCTCAGTGCCCTTCCCCCCTACTCCCAACCAAGAGCCAATCAACCCTCTCTTCGTTCAGTCTGCTGCCTCTTGGTCGCACTCCATCGCCAAACATTTTAGCTAAAGTGCCCCTCTCTGGTCACCACTCCCCTTCATTAGAAGGCAAGTTCTTTGAGGACAGGAACTTTGCCTTTGTATCTCCAGACCTTAGCACTGAGCTTGGCTTAATAAATTCTGAGTTTGTTATTCATTCATTCATTCAGTGAGTCAGTCAGTCATGTATAGAAGCTAATTCAATTTCTGAAGAAGATACATACATACACAGCATACAATCAAGCCAAGGAGGAGCATCTTTCCACAGTTTTCTCAGGATGGTTTCTCCAGGTCTGCCCAGACTGAAGGGCAATAAAGTGAAAGGATAGAAAACATAGGGGGAAGAGGGAGGAAGATGTGTCCTTGTCCAGCTCAGAACAAGCAAGCCCAAGCTTTAAGTAACCAGAGTGCTGATTGAGATGTTTGTTTCTAATTTACAGTGTGAAACACACCATCTGGATGCCCAGTCCTCAGGAAGTCACTAAACAAGCATCTGTTTCCACTACTGGGGAGGCTGATTGTCCCCAGCAACATAGGGGGACCCCAATATTGAGATAACAGGAAGAATTGGTTTTCCAAGTACAATTCTCAGTTCCTCAGCCTTTAGGGTTCACAATTAGACTCCTTTGATACATGGGAAATGGATTTCAGGCAAAACATAGTACCAAGGGAGGAGGAGGAACAGAATCCAAGTATGTCTTGAAGACACTATTCTTGTACTTTAGCAATGGAGTGTAGGATAATAGAGAACATATTTGATTTAATCTAATTGGTAAAAGAGAAAAGTGCATCATTCCAGGAGGGGAAGGGAAAATTTTAAGGGGATAAGTAAACTGTTTTGCTCTTCTTTATAAGGAATCCTGATTAAAGGAGGAAAAATACTTTTATCAAAAAGTTTCATTGCAAAGGGAGAAGTGAGGGAGATTCAATAACCTTGAAAAAAAACATAAGAGGTTGCCAGTTTGTACATGGTTAGAGTGAAGAACTCTGAGTCATAAAGAACTGAGTTCTGAGTTCAAATCCTGCCTTGGACATGTGATAGCTATGCAACCCTGGGAAAATCATTTACCCTCTTTAAGCCTCAATTTCCTTAACTATGAAATGGGGATAAATGTGATGCACTCTGTGAATATATGTTAATCATTATTAGTGTAGGGATATAGATTTTGAGATGAAAGAGACTTCAGAGAGCATTTTATTCCTTTAACCTCTAAATCTATAATGCTATACTAATAATGGCTAACATTTATATAATCCGTAACAGAACTAGTTGTTGTTGTTGTTATTGTTGTTGTTGTTTTTGGGGGCAATCTGGGTTAAGTGACTTGCCCATGGATGGATTGGTGCGAAAGGATAGTGGGTAGCATAACCTTAAAGTTTAATGGTTTGGGACCAATGACAATGAAAGACAAGTCTAAAATAAGAATAAGGGATGTAGGATGTGATGCTAGTGGACAGAAACTCATGCAATGTATTTAAAATCCATTTATAAAATTATGAATTTAGAACTAGAAAGGACCTCTGAGGTGACATAATCTACTCCCTTTATACATGATAACCCTGGCACCTGGAGAGGGAAATTTATTTAAATAGAACCTCTTCCTTGGATCCTCTAGTGGTGTGACTATCCACAGGCCCAAAAACACTCTGTACAAGTCTGCACTCTCGAAACTATAGCTCAGAAGCCCCCACTAGTGTATTTGTAATGTGTACTTGTATTCCGTAACGGTCAGCCAGTAGGAATATTTAGCTCAAAGCAAGGACATCTAGTAAAGGTGGCATAGAAAAAAAAGTAGCTAGCAGACATCCCCTCCTGCCTAGAAATGGTGAATGTTACTCTCCAACAAATAAACAGAGCATAAGAGGGAAGAGGGGGCACAAATAGATTATACTGTAAGTGAGGCTCACATGTAGCAAACACACATGGCCAAGGCAGCTCACAATTTTGTTACTTCAGGGCCTTGATGTCCTTTCTTTTCTTCTGGTGTCATGATGCTGCTACTCCATGGGTACAACAGCATCTCTTTTGGGGAGATCCCTCTACTGGTTTCCTTGGGCTTGGCTCCTCTTTGTAGCTCTACTATCTATTTCCAGAGTTAGTTCTTTCTGGAATTCTTACCTATTTATTTTTCCTTCTTTGAAAAGTTGTGTTCCCTGAATCTATTTGCTGCCCTAATTATCTTTCTCCTCCTGCTTAATTTGGTGTCTCCTTCTATTTGAGACATTTGCTACAAAATACCTTGACCAGTAATGGGAGATGGAAGATAGAACACAATCTGTTGTCTGCCTTCTAGCAGAAGTACTTTATGGAGTCATGCTCCATAAAGATTCTTCCCCCTAGACTATGTCTCTGAACTGAGACCCCTCCAGCCACCTGGAGCATGGCTAATATTCAGCAATCAAGTCGTGAGCTATCCCCCATGACTCCATGAGTGATAACTCCTGAGACTAAATAAAAGAGTGACAGTAGGGGCACATCTCTTAATTCATCAACATCTCATTTCTAGGTTACCTGCCCAATTCGGTGATATCATCAGTGGGGAGAGGGGTAAAATCATTGGCTCATGAAACACGTCCCTCTCTCCTA